CACATTCTAACGGCAAACAAAACCCTGACGACCAACACTGATGTTATCCAAAACTGTATAAAAGTTGGATGTTCTGACAAATTGTAACGTCCAAAATTCCCATAGGCTATATCATTACACCCCACCCCCCTCCCCAGTAGTGGGACATTAACCCTACCTAGACCGGGCGTTTTTTGGACGAGGTCGGGGGGACCCGGGGGGGGCTCTTTGACCCCCCTAAGAACTCGCGAACGGTATGTCGCATGACCACCAAATTTTCAGAGAATGGTGTACTAGTGAAAATTTATCATATCTACAATTTTTATGTCGTTATGACGTAATATGACGTCATTATGACGTCATTAATGTGATTTTACTGGCCAAAACCGTCTAAATAGGTTTTTCCCTGAAAACCTCCCTGGTATACAACATTACTTTACCAAAAGTGTTTATGACAGAATATTAGTGTGTACTAAGTCTTATGTTGCCCATAGCAACACCGGTGACGTCATAAAGTGACGTCATGCATATTTAAGATATCCGCCATCTTGGATCATCAATCTTGAATTTTCAAAAATAGTTTTTTTCATGATAAAGCCTAAAATACATTGTAAACATACTAAACACCTTTATTCAAACCTTTTTTGTAAAAAGAAATGGAAGTATTGATGAAATTTTAATGAAAATAACCCGTATATACCTGTTCTAATGATATGGTCCGCCATCTTGGATTTTGGCCAATGACGTCATCAAATTAGCATAAATTATGCATATTTAATGATAAAATTTACATAAAATTATATGGGATGTTATTAATGTTAGAAACCATGAGTAACTTGACATAAAACCCATAAAATTCTATTGTTGAAACAAAAAGTACTAAATTTAGCAAAAAATGCCTGTCAGAAACCCGTTGCCATGGCAACAGAAAGAAATATTATCTTATTCCAATGATAGAGAATTGTTGCCAACCATATTTTAGGAAAAGTCACCAAGTTTGGTCGTTCTACGGTTAGCCGTTCAGACGCTAGGTGACATCAAAGTTGCCGCGGGCACTTTTAGCCCCCCCCCGGTCTAGGTAGGGTTAAGCTAGTTTTTTTTCTGTTTACAATGCGTTCCGGGACGTAGTATATTTATGACATACATACTAGGCATTGTTACATCTTAGGGAAATATGCGTTTCCAAATGTTTCCTAGCTTAAGTGCACTATGAACTATGTAACACCGTTAGTGCACTATGCACCAAGTAACATCTAGTGTCAGTGCACAGTAAACCAGTCAGAATTGCCCTTATACCCCCGTCACATTGCGCGTAAATCGATCGGCCGACTAGTTGGCGAGCTCTAAACGACATTTACGGCCGTAGTACGCCCGATGTTCCGTCGAGCATCGCGCGAATTTTCGGGATCGCCGGCGATTTTTTGGAGTCGGCCGAAGCTCGCTGACACGCGAAACGTGTTCTTAACATCAGCGACTAGTCGCCGGCGATTTTTGAGGTCGCAGAGCTCGTTTCCAGCTCGCGCGTAGCTCGCCCGTAGCTCGTCCCTGTGCGGCCGAGAGTCGACCGATATTCGGACGTACATCCCACGAGTCTCGGCCGTATTTCGTCTTTGAAAATCGGGCGACGGTCGCTGAATACGGTCGACCATCGCGCGAGCTTCGCGAAATATTCGGGCGACCCTCTTCCGTACCTCGCCCGACTTGCGCAAAGTTTTTAAAATCGTGCGTGCTTCGAGCGAGCTTCGTGCCAGTGTCGGACGAAGGTTCTACGAGCCTCGGCCGAGCTCATGTGAAGTTATTATTTATTCAGCACCTGTGACATTTCTTTGAGACTGCATTGACAATATACTGTGTAAAGTTTGCAGGAGCAACGTCCCACTGATTGTTAACGTTATGTTTACGAGAAAGTATAAAAATAGACAAAATCGTCCTTTGTCCTTTTGTTACATAAACATTCGTTAATGAACAAAAGCACTTTAAAAAGATGACGAGGTTTTAATTATATAAGGCCAAATGCCTAGATTTTTACCTCAACTGATTGAACGCACATGATATCCTTTACTCTTGTCCTTTTAGGAGGTGTGTGCCGGCCCTTATTTCAGATGACTGTATAGTAAATTAACGTTTACACTTGTTCATTCTGGAATGAGATTGACTTTTTTTCCTTAGGGTGCCTTCATGTGATAGATATCGATATTACTTACTAGTTGAAGTTTATATTGCATGGGTCTTTTTACCTCTGTCTACTTTGTTGACATTGAATGACTAATAATCTTGTTTACCGGAAGATTCATACTATTTTAGACACAAGTATACAGGCAAAGTTTTAGAACAATATATATTATTAGCTTTGTTCAGGTACACGTGTATAAAAAGATTTTGATATAATGATAATCATTATGTCTTGTTGTACGTCTTGGTTGAATGGTGTAGAAATCGTGCGAGCATCGATAGATCGTCGACCGTAACTCGAGCGACGTACGCCCTTGTGTCGAGCGAGCTTCGGACGACTCCTGTCTGGTTAAAAATGTGGTCGTTGTGTTAACAAGACGGTAGTGTACATTTGTGGCTCTTGTGGTAGTATTTGAGTTGGATCTTTCACAGAATTCCTGTTTCTATTTCTATTTCATTCTGCCAGTCCGCTCCATTACTTTGCTAAAAAATATTACGACAGGTCAAAAATAAAAATTGTCCAAACTATTCATTTCTAGGTGGATACACTGGCCTTGCTTCATCTGCGTGCCAAGTCATAGGGACTTCATTATCATAGATGTATTCCCAAGCGATCGCCCGAGCCTCGCACAATGTGACCGCGACAATTTTCAAGCCAAAAATACACGCGATCGTCGGTCGATGTCAAAATCGGCCGATCTTTCGGCGATTGACAAATACGGCCGAAGCTCGTCGACAATGTGACGGGGGTATTATGAAGATGACAGAAGGTAGGTCATCGAAACGTTGGCTTGAAAAATAAATAGTTGTGATAGAAAGAACGTTGCTATTCAAACATGGCTGTGCTTCCAGATTTTGATCATACTCGTAGGGCATCATATTTCACATTATCCCGGGTGGCACTTATTTGCAACGAAATAAAGTTCATTCACCTTAACATTTCTGCGGAAATGTCCTCAAGATTTACATTTTGTGTCGTCCTAATGTTACAGAATGCAGCTTTAACTTTAAAAGTAAATATAAACAGACGAAAATTCAGCTGTCATAGATCTCACAGGATCATTATTCACGAAAAATACTTGACTTCGGAATTTTGAGTCCTATAGCCTGTACTTTTTTGATCGGTCATCTCTACACATAGTACATTTTCTTTTTATTAATATTTTCTTGGGCACTTTGGGGGACATGTCCCAATTCGGTATAACTGTCAAATCAATAAATCATCCGAAGATATCAGGGTCTCTTATAACGTGACATAATTTAAAAAAGTAATTAAATGGAAATAAGTTGTTTAACAGAATTTATTACAGTACCTGATAAATGGTCGACAAAAAAAACACACAGACAAACAGAAATAATGTGACACCATGACCATTTTATTCAGTATGTAAACATGTTTTCATCGGACGTTATACGGTGAACCTTTTCAATCAACTTAGTAATCCAGAGACAACAGTTCACCTGTCTTCAAAATTACTAGACTGAACGTGAATACGTGAATATCAAGAAGTTGTTTATTCACAACCACTTGTTTAGAAAAGCCTACGTTTCGATGACCGTCTGTCATCTTCATCAGAGTTATAATGACTGGTTGACTGCGCACTGAATCTATGTGTTACTGGTGCACTGTGCACTGAGGCTGGATGTTACTTGTTTACTGTACACTAAAGCTAGGTGTTATTCGTTCACTGTGCACTGAAGCTAGGTGTGACTGGTTCTCTATGCACTGAAGCGAGGTGTTACTGGTTCACTGTGCACTGAAGCTAGGTGTTACTGGTTCAGGGTGCACTGGAGCTATGTGTTACTGGTTCTCTGTGCACTGAAGCTATGTGTGACTGGTTCTCTGTGCACTGAAGCTATGTGTGACTGGTTCTCTATGCACTGAAGCTAGGTGTTACTGGTTTACTGTGCACTGGCGCTAGGAGTTACTACTTCGCTGTACACTTAAGCTACAGTTACTAGCTATATATAGTTCACCGTGCACTGAACCTAGGTGTTACTGGTTCACCGTGCACTAAAGCTACGTGTTATTGGTTCACTGTGCGCTGAAGCTAGCTGTTCTACTTTAAAACAATCCTATGGGTAATATTAATCTATACTCAATTTTGTCACAATTAACACAGTGTTCTGCAATATAGGTCATGGTGACATTACCCAAGTTTTTCACCGCTGTAAATTATATTTAGATAAATAGCATTTAATATTGTTGGCATATAATGATAAGTTTAGATGGAGAAGTCTCTAAGTTTAGATGGAGAAATTTTACTATTGTTGGTATGTAATGGTGAAGTTTCCTAAACAGGTTCTGAGTTTAGATATGGAAAAATAAAACTTTACTATTGTTGGTATATAATAATAAAGTTTCCTACACTGGCTCTTAGTTTAGATGGAGACACTTTATATTTTTTGTTGTTGGTTTATAATAAAATGCCCTACATTGTCCCTAAGTTTATATGAAGAAGCTTTACTGTTCTTGGTATAATGATAAAGTTTCCTACACTGTCTCTAAGTTTAGGTGAAGAAACGTTACTATTGTTGATATATTAAATGATAATGTTCTCTACACTGTCTCTAAGTTTATATGGAAAAACTTTACTGCATGCTGTTGGTATAATGATAAAGTTCCCTATTTTGTTTCTGAGGTTAGATGGAGAAATTTATTGTTGGTATAATAATTAAATTCCCTACATTGCCTCTAATTTTATATGAAGAAACTTTACTATTGTTGGTAAAACGACCCCTACGCTGTCTCTAAGTTAATGTGAAGAAACTTTACTATAATTTTACTTTACTAATAATTAAACTTTACTAATAATTTAAAGTTCCTTATACTATATCTAAATTTAGATGTAGAAATTTTATTATTGCTGGTATATAATTATAAATTCCCTACACTGTGAGATGGAGAAATTTTAATATCGTTGGTATAATAATAAAGTTCCCTACACTGTCTCTAAGTTTATGGGGAGAAACTTAGTTATTGTTGGTAAATAACGATACAGTTCCCTACATTGTCTCTAAGATTTAATGGAGAAACCTTACTGTTGTTGCATTGGTATATAATGTTGAAGTTCCCTACACTTCAGCAGTCTTTAAGTTCAGATGAAGAAACTTTACTGATGTTGGTATAAAATGTCTAAATTTAGACCGAGAAACTTTGCTATTGTTGGTATAGCTATAACATTGCCTACACTATCTATAAATTTATTTAGAGCAACTTAACTTTTGTTGGTATAATGATAAAGTTTCCTACACTGTCTCTAAGTCATTAAGAGCTTTAGTTTACTATTGTCGGTAAATAATAGATGATTTTAAAAAAGTAGATAAAGTTCTCTACGCTTTCCCTAAGTTTTAGCTACTATTGTCCGTGTGGTGTTCGGTATGAATTCACTAATCTTAAGGAAAATTTACCATTACCATTACCAAATCGTGTGAAGGACATAATGTTACATTTTCTGTCATATGATTGTAACTGTGTCTTGTTCCGGTAGAAAGCCAACACCTTATGTCTTGGTGTCAGCAGCGCCAGTCTTGTCCGTCTTTCCCCAAACCTGGAAAGCGTAGTTGTCCATTCCTAACAGAAAAAAACCCACATATTGTTACTAATCAAAACATTGCAGCAATCCATAGACTTATTATGAAGCTCCCCAAACTAACTTCATGTTACAGAATGTTGACATTCGATTGTTGCATTCCAAAATGTGTTCTTCCAAAACATGTTTTTGAGTGGACCGTATTTTGGAATACAATTGGCAATCCAACTTCTTTACGTTCCAAATCACAATACAGCTGGATCACGACTTGGAATGTTCCATAACGTGGACGACTATGTCAGAATTTAAGAGTCCCTTGTGTCCAGGGCCTCCATGTTCTGCCTGTGAGGTAAGCCTTGTTTGTTTGTTTGTTTGTTTGTCTTTTTGTAGTCTATAGTCTGTAGGCTAAATCACGCTCCAGGTTAGAACAAAAACATGCTATTACAAAATGTTTTGGACTGGATCACGTTAAATAAAACAGATGTGAAATGTTTAATAAAACAGAAGTACACCTACCAGCAGTGTTGTCATCGCGCTTCATGTTCTCCAAAGCCTGCCGCTTTCTGACCAGAACCACTGCCAGGATCAGGAGTGCCATGATCCCGGCAACTCCAACAGACGCTCCGACTGCGGCACCCAGCGGGACTACAGCTGGCCCTGTGGACAAGTAGAACGGCTCTGATGTAATAAGTGCTGAAGAAAATTTTTGACTTGATTTGATTGTAGCTTCACCTGTGCTGCGCGAATCGTTTGGCACCATCGAAATAAAAGGTCAAGATCTTAGCATGAAAGTTCATCTATGTTGGTATACTTCATCATGAAAAAACGGGTTAAACGTTCTTGCCAACACTGAGTAATGTGGGACTTACCCAAATTTTTGGCCGACTCCGTCAGCCTTGTTCATGGAATGGACCCTTCTACTGCAGCTTCAAGGGTGACGGAGTCGGCCGAAAATTTGGGTAAGGTCCAATTTACTCAGTGTTGGCAAGAAAGTTTAACATGTTTATCATAAAAAAGGAAAAATAGTATGTAAGTGATGCTTCTCAGCTAAACGTAACATCAGGTACTCACTACGCTAAGCACTTCTTTTCAAAGTGAATTGATTTTTGCATTTCTCAGTATAAATTCGATTTCAATGACAAATATTGATGGAAAAAGGGAATTATTGTTTGATTCAGTGATAACGAAACAACATGAAAACAATATATTTTATTTATGATTTTCAGGCGAAAAACTTTTCCTACCTGCTCCAGCTTCTTGTTTGACCTGGAACGGTCCCCGGGTGATGTCCACCGCCTGGTCCCTGCTGCTCTCCCGGCGAACCCTGCCCTCCGTCCCGTCCGAGACGGCTCGCCTGGGCCGTGCTGCTGGCAGAATGCAGCCCTGTTTGCACCGAGAGTCGGGGTCGTCCTTGAAGCAGATAATCATTGTGCAGTGGAAGTACACCTGAAGAATAATGAATGGGATGTCATTGACTATAAAAAAACACTTATCAGACCCGAGCATTTAACAAGCTTATTGCAACATATAGTCGAATTGCCAAAGCGACCACCGTTTTTTCTCGGTCCCGAGACCTAAGGATTAATGGACTTGCTTGAGCCGACCACATGTACAACGCGACCAATGCTATTGGGTAGGTTTGATTAGACTTCCTATAGGGCTTATTCACCACAGATTGTCACGTGAATCTCCCCCTGGCGTCCGCCATTTTGGGGTCCAGCGTAGTGCCTGTCGCTTTGCAATGTTATGCAAACTCTTGGCGATAGTTGGGTATTTTGGGCCACAATCTACGTTTTGGACACTCTTCTTGTTAGTAACATTGTCCTTGGGGTTGTTCTGGCTCCGTGTCCACGTCTCATGTTGTCAAGATTGGCTTTTATCTCTTTTTGCTGATCAGAAATCGGTGTGTTTTACCCTGGCGTGGCGTACGAGGCTGTACATGTACATGTAGATTGCAACGTGGGTAGCCATGGACACGGTAAATCCGTTGGAGCTACCTGTCCCTTTACTCTGTGGTAAATGTCCATGTAGAACAGGGCGCTGACAACGTGTTACACTCACCTTGTCCAGCCACAGTCGCGGCAGTGCGGACTGAGGATGGCTACAACGTACTTAATTGTCACCACGCAACTGTCCCATAACACTTTCTACACATCCTGATACAACGCTTCCAGACTCTTAGAGGGTTTGAACCGATCCTGTGTGTAAAAACTTCTGCCCAGTACTAAATACGAAGCTATTGAGTCACGTCAATGGACTCCGCTGGCGGTAGACGCCGTCTCGATCAGACTGATCAAAACTCAACAAAAACGGGTCAATCCCAACAGATTTTATTTTGTTCCAGTAACGAGAGGTATGAGTGGTGGTAAAGTCTTCGCGTAATAGGACAAAGGACAGTTTACCTAACGTTTGTCGGCCATTTCAACGCTTGGAAACTCACTGTAGAGATGCACCCCAAATGGCGTCGCACGGGACATTAGGGGTCATGACGTCATTATGACGTGTGGTGAATAAGCACTATATTAAAAGATTGGCCGGAGATTGATTGTCTTTCGAGTTTAGCTGAACGGAAATTGCATCTATGTTGTCCCCAACCACCACAGAAGTGTCACCGTTCAAACATGATTTTTACCAGGCTGGAATCGAGAGCATTGGGAAAGGTGAAGGCGGCCACGCTGTAGTACTGTGCCTTGTCGTTAGAAAGGGCAGGGTCCTTCTGGAGAGTTTGATCGACCTGACAGCTGCAACGTCAGAGGAAACAAGTCATCTTTATGTTGAGACACAACCAGAGTCACTCACTCTGCTGGTTAACTCAGGATTGCTAGCTATAGGTAACCAATGAAGGCAAAACAGAGAACCATCCAACCCACCAACCAGCTTTTACAAACAAGCAAACACTAACCAAGTGCACAACAAAATCAGCTTTTTATCAATCAATCAACCAACCAACGAACCAACCAAGCAACTAATCAACTAGCCAACTAATTAACCAACTAACAAATCAACCAACCAAACAACCAACTAACCAACCAGTGAGCCAATTATATATTCAGCAAAATTCATCCCTACATCCATCTTTCTATCCATCCATCCAAACCCCCGTCCATTCATCCATCCGTCTTTCAATCCATCCATTCTTCCATCCATCTATCCATCTATCTACATGTATCCATCCATCGAGCCAATTAAAAGCAACCAGCCAGGCATCAAAACTTGCATATCTTTCTTTTGGAAACAAGCAAACAAACAAACATGCAACTAATGAAATGTTCCAGCACATGAAGAGAAACACTACAGACGTACCCGTCGTCTATGATGTTGACCCTGGTGGAGTGGTCAGGGCTGGTGGTGGGGGTGGAGACACAGTCACGGGCGAACAGCTCCAGGTTGTCCAGCGGTGATGCCACACTCAGACCAAAGTTAAGACGGTCAGAAGGTTTGACCTGCAATGTTGACGTAAAGTTCAGTGTCTTTCTATTCAGTAGTACAACGGCATGCAGACAAGATCGGTCGAGTGTCTTGTCTGTAACCGGTTTGCTTGTCACCTTCTTTTTTCTCCGTAGATGTTAGCATGTCCAATCTATCGTGGTTAGAACGGGCTCACTTCGGGGCTCTAGAAGTTTTTCCCCGCCCAGCTCAACTGGTCGCCCGGTGGAAGTTTTGCTCGGAAGGATTTTACTAGCCCCATCACTAGTTAAACTCCCGTCATATCAGAGAGCATAGTAGCTAATTCGGGCGACGAAGATCTCCTACCTAAGCCACGATATACTGGACACCAGGCTATTGTCATTGTCAGATTACATAATTAAAGTTCCTGACCTTAATAGGGAATTCAGAAGACTGGTACTCTGTACTGAAGTCTGTTGAAGTGTAGATTTGCATCTCCAGGGTGAAAGTGTTGTCCGCATGAACGACATCAACACTGCAAGGAATTGCAAAGACGAAGCAAACATGAAATTACTATGTTACTCATTTTCTATGAACGGAAAGGTAATTTTGATATATAGTAATAAATCAAAGAATGATTAGTGAAACATTCTCCTTACTGTAATGGAGTAATGAATAGAATAGTGTTCATCAGTCAGGATAATCACTTTCCAGAGGGAATCACTGTTTCCTACTTGTCATGCGCAGTGATTGGTTCAGAGGAATCACGTGATGCATCTCACTCTATATAAGGGCAATCAGAGAAAGATCTTTATATATCAGTAAACAGTCCAGAGGTTCTCCGTCCGCCAGACGGAGCCTATAGCGACCCACCCGATATTTTCGGGTGGCAGCGGGCGTCCGCTAAAGAGCAGCCGCCGTGACCTTTTTGATACTTTTGGAGACGGCTCACTCATTCCGGAGGACCAAGGGCTACGCATAATAAAGTGAAAACACACACACACACACACACACACACACACACACACACACACACACACACACACATACACACACACGCACACACACACACACACAAACAAACACACGAACACATTCACTCAATTTTCATGGAGGTAAAAAAACTTCAATCTGTAAGGTAGGTTCTTACCGGGGAGGGGGGATGTTAAACATGATGTCCCCGCCCTGACTAACGCCGTACTGACGGAGGAACTCGCACTGGAAGGGCAGGTTTACCGGCTGGTTACGCACGGCGCCGTTCTCGTAAGTCACTTGATTGGCGATGACAACGTTGGAGAAGATGACTTTGTCCTCACCTGAGGTCTGAGGTGCCAAAATATGACGTCTTACGAGTGTGTTTAAAAGCTTGAAACACAGCTGTTATCCATGTTTACACAACTGTTGTTTTTCTAATTCCCATGCATTTTCACATGCAAGACATGGCGACGGCACACTTAAGTTTTTTTTTCAACTTATTTTCATGTCACAACCACCGCAGACAAACGTAGGGACAACAGGCCTACCCATTTTCACAAGAGTTGAGTGGGAAAATTCGTGTATAACGCCTTTCACAATGGCACAAGAATGGTGGTATGACAGGATTCAAACTCGGGACCTCTTGTTTCGAGTCTAACGCTCTGTCGTTATGCCACACGACCCCACACAACTGTTGCACAGCTATTAATTACAATCATACTAATATTTTTTAGATAAAATGTTTCCTTTTTTGGTGCAAAAATGGGTACTTAAAGGCATGCTGTGGAACTGTGGTTCGCCGTCTTTTACCTCTTGCAGTGTTCCGCACTCCTGCAGGTGCGTCTGAAACTCAAAGACATCTTCGTCTTCGTCCTCAGTAGCTCCACAGTCCGGGTCCAGCAGGTGCAGGTCCTCCACGTTCACAGCCGGCAGCGCCGCACGGGGGATGGACAGACTCATACTGTCCTGGGTGCACTGTACGTTCACAACAACCGGATCTGAAAGAACGAAACAGTCTGTTGTAACATCAATCAAAAAGGGATTATTGGCTTTGGTCTCTCTCTCTCTTTGTTTGTGTGTGTGTGTGTGTTCGTGAGTGCGTACATGTGTGAGTGAGTGGGTTGCGTGTGTGCATGTATGTGTGTCTGTGTCTGTGTGTGTGAGAGAGAGAGAGATAGAGAGAGAGAGAGAGTTTGTGGTGCGAGAGTGTTTGTATGTGTATGTGTGTGTGTGTGTGTGTGTTTGTGTGTGTGTGTGTGTTTCTGCAGGTTGTTATAGATATGGTTGTGTTCAGTTTGTCTCAGAGCAAGAGTTAGAATTCATTCATCATTTCTACATCTGGTCAGCATGCGCTCGCTGATTTCACACATGACCTCCTCGACTGCCGTTTCCCTTGCGGAATGTACATGTAGGTGATTGCATAAGCCAATTTAGTAGTGTACGGAAACTAAAGTGGTATTGCCACGTGTCCCGGTCATTGGGACAAGCCAAAAGCACCGTGCAAGGAACAGTACACCCTGGAAGGACGGGTAGGCAGCGGACAAGATGGGCCAACATGTCACGAAGTGAAAAACTATGAGAAACATAAAATAGAAGAGTGGAAAAAATTGTTGTCATAACATCTGTGGTGCATCAAGGGTAGAATGAATATAAGACAGATGGATAGAAGAGATGAGGTTGCAAAAACGAAATTGATTTGTGATCTGAGTCAGTTTTCAAAGTAGCATTACAGGGGTAGGCCCAATGCTAAAAGCCCTAGTCCCTTCCCATCACCGACCTGTGGTGAATGTCCCGCTGATAACCCCGTTTGGCTGGCCCTCATCACCAAAAGAAGTCAGCGTGAGGGTGTACTCTGTGTCGGCCAGCAGCCCCGACACGGTCGCCGAGGTGGCTCCCGCTCCTGGTGCCGGGGAGAGGTCCTGGGGCGAGCCCGACCCGTCTGCCGGCTGGTAGCGGAGCGTGTAGCCCGAGATCGGGAGGATTCCGGTTGCCCAAGAGACGGAGAGATGACTCATCCCGGCATCATCACTGGTCAGTCTCGAGCGCAGTGCCACTAGAAATGCATGATACATGGATGGGCATTGATTAACGCTGCAAGTTTAGCATTTAGGAGTGGTTAGGAGTAGGTAGGGGGCAAGGTCGTTTGTTGTTGGATGGTGTCCAGCCAGGGCGGCTACTGCTCGGCTGTGATAGCCAAATGTTTCAACATGTTTCAAATATTTTGGTGTGGACGGAAAGTTCGGCAATAGTTGTATGGCGTTCGTAAGTAGGTCGTGTCCTGGTTGGCAGAGAAATCTGGCTCAAATTTAATTCAAATTCGAGTCGATTCGTATAGAAGTGTAGGCGTGACCTAAATAGACTGCTCCCGAACTTCTGCCTACCTTGGAGGAAGGTTCTGTCCCTGTCACACATTTACGACCTTTCTAATAGTCCGTTTAGATTTAGGCCACGCCTATCTTTTTATACAAATTGAATTTGAGCCAAATTTGACCCCCGAACACTGCTGACATACACTCAAATTGTTGCCTGGTGGTGATGACTTGCAGCCGGATACCAACCATGGTCGAAACTCCTTACATTTGAAACATTATGAAACATTTGGCTGGAGCCGAATTCGCCAAACGCCAGCCGACCCAGCCGACTTGACGTTGATCTACTCCTAACCATGGTTAAAGGACGTTCAGCTTGTGTTCGGGACGCCAAATATTCCCGTAAATGTGTGACAAGAGTTTAAGAGACTAGCTCATGAGCGCACACAGAACAATTCTACCAAATACATTCTACCTCTCAGACACTTATTAGTGACAGTGGTAAATGTGAGGAATCATCGCACATACCTAGCTGACAGACGAACCCGAAGCCGCTGCCGCAGTTGTTATCGTTCCAGGAGCGTGAGTCTACATCAACTTCCAAACAGTCCTCGCCGCCTCCAGCATCGTTCGGCTCATCGATGTTCCAGTCATTGTAGCCGGCTGACGCAAGGGTTTGGCCGTCTTCAAATAGCCACTGCCCTTCGATGTCGATGTCAGTCAGCCCAATCCAACGCTTTCCAGCTCCTACTAGATTGTAGACAGCAGAGTTGGCCGTGTTGTCTTTCGGCATGGCCAGCAGTCCCCCGTCTGCCGCACATGTCTGTCTGGCCGCATCGTACGTCTTCTTCTCAACAAAGTCCTTGTAGCAAACCCCGTCTACACTGACGTAGCCTGCTATTGGACATTCTGTAGAAAAAGCAAAGGGGATATTGTATTGGGATGTGTTGAAAAATAAACATACTGTAGTATGTGTGTGTGTGTGTGTGTGTGTGCGTGTGTGTGTGTGTGTGTGTGTTTGTGTGTGTGTTTGTGTGTGTGTGTGTGTGTGTGTGTGTGTGTGTGTGTGTGTGTGTGTGTGTGAGTGTCCGTATGTCTGTTTTTCGCATGACCCTTAGGTAAGGTTGTAATCGACATGGCTGGCATGAGTCTGTCCTAGATCGAGGGGAAAAGTCTACATCACGTAGCACTCATTGTTTTGAATGGTAAATTTTCGTTACATGACCTCCTTTACAGCAGGTGTCTCCCTTGTATGATAAAGAAAGATTTGTAGACACGATTGTGAGTGAGAAGAGGACATAGTCACTATCACACCAGATATAACTATTTCATGAAGGTCCGAATTATTGGTTAAAGAAGTGCTTAAGTGCTTACAGACAATTGAAAGATTTCAAAATATTTCCTTTGTTTGATATACATGTAAAATCCCGAAAATTAAGCACTTTTTGCCTCTCAAAATGCCAAGTCTTGAACCGACTGCCATGTTCATTGTGACGTCAAGACCGAATGAATCACCTGGTAGCAGGAATCAAGACCATGCGTGACCTGGAAACTTGGTTCGTTATGTTCAAAACCATCAATGGGGTGTATGCGTTGTGTGAATTCTTACATGTATGTCCACTGATCATGAGTTACACTGTTTTGTTGCAGGTGATAAGAAAATGTTGTTAATCAGCAAAAGGAAGTTTGAAAATCAGGTTAACGTTAACATTACTAGTACCTTGCCCAGTGACTGTTGCAGTCGTCGCCATCACCACCAGGACTATCCACCTCCAGAACCCGGATGTACACGGACCCGCCATCGTGTCAGCGTACACCTAAACATAGGTCAACAAGTGGGGATCATTATCCTACCATTAACCAACATCGCATTCGGCAAAGTACCATTCAGCAGCAAATGCAGTTCTCACTCACTGCACGATCACTGCAGCAAAAAGGCTTTTCCTGTTATGTAGACTCAAGAGGTTTGTAGTCTGTAATGCCTGCGTCACATTGTCGACGAGCTTTGGCCGTATTTGGTGATGGCCGAAAGTTCGCCCGATTTTGAGATCGACCGAGGATCGCGAATATTTTTTGCTTCAAAATCGTCTTGGTCACATTGAGCAAGGAACAATGCTTGGGTAATACATTAATATGATGATGACGTCTCAATGACATAGCACGCGATAGAAGTAAGGCCAGTCTATCCACCTAAAATGGAATAATTTTTTTTTTATTCCAACATGTTATCACCAGAAGTGGTGACGGAACACTCAAGTTTTATCAACTTATATTAATGCCGCCACCAACACAGGGGACAAATACATGACAGGACAATTCTCATTATCACCTAAATGAAGTGAGGGAAGTCGTGTTAAGTGCCTTTCCCAAGAGCACAAGATCAGTGGCATGTCAGGACTCGAACCCGGGACCTCTAGGTTCCTCGTCGCGCACTCTGCCGCTACGCCACACGACCCCATAGGAAAAGGAATAATTGGACCGATCGTTATGTATTACCTGACGTAATATTTTTTTAGCAAAGTAATGGAGCGGACTGGTAGCCTGAGTATTATTATACTTGAATGCCGGGGCTCCCACACTCGCTTCCCCAACCTGTGCAAAGGTCGCACAAGGGTCGAGCGGCCATCGCCCGATGTTTTAAGGTATGTACAACCAAATATCGGTCCCGCACAGGGACGAGCTACAGGCGAGCTACAGTCAAGCTGGAAACGAGCTAGCTCTGCGACCTAAAAAATCGCGCGCGACAAGTCGCTGATGTTATCGGGCCCTCACATTGCGAGAAAATTGATCGGCCGACGATTCGGCGAGCTCTACCAGACATTTACGGCAGCAAATGATGTTTCGTCGAGCATCGCGCGAATTTTCGGGATCGCCGGCGATTTTTCGGAGTCGGCCAAAGCTCGTTGACACACAAAACGTGTTCTTTTTATCAGTGGCTAGTCTCCGGCGATTTTTGAGGTCGCAGAGCTCCTTTCCAGCTCGTCCCTGTTCGGTCGCGAGTCGACCAAAATTCGGACGTACATCCCGTGAGTCTTGACCGTTATCCGTCTTTAAAAATCGGACGATGGCCGCTGAATATAGTCGACCCTTGCGCGAGTTTTGCAAAGGTTTCTAATGCCTGCGTCACATGGTCGACGAGCTTCGGCCCGAATATTTCGCGAAGCTCACGAGAGGGTCGACCGTCTGATTTTTAAGACAAAGAAACGACCGAGACTCGCGGGATGTACGTCCGAATATCGGTCGACTTGCGGCCGTACATGGTCAAGCTATGAGCAAGCTGAAAACAAGCTCTGTGACCTCAAAAATCACCGGCGACTAGTCGCTGATGTTAAGAACACGTTTCGCGTGTTAGCGAGCTTCGGCCGACTCCAAAAAATTCCGAAAATTCCGAAAATTCGCGCGATGCTCGACGGAACACCGGGCGTACTACGGCCGTAAATGTCGTTTAGAGCTCGCCGACTAGTCAGCCGATCGATTTACGCGCAATGTGACGGGGGCATTAGGTAACCAGAAGGTAAAGTGTTAATTTGTGGCTTTTGTGGTAGTTTTTGAGTCGGGTCTGTTTCTATTTCAATTTTGTTCTGCTAGTCCTCTCCATTAGTTTGGCAAAAACATTACGGCAGCTAAAACATGAAAGTCGGTCAAACTATTCCCCTTCTAGTTAGATAGACTGGCCTCACTTCGACCGCGTGCCGTGTCATGGGGGCTTCATTACCATAGATGTGTTTCCAAGCAATCATCCTAGCCTCGCTTGATGTGATGGGAAATATTTTCAAGCCCAAAATGCCCACGATCCTCGGTCGATCTTAAATCGGCTGACCTTTTGCGATCAATAAATACGGCCGAAGTTCGTCGACAATGTGACGCTGGCAGTAAGAACACGTTTCGCGTGGCAGCGAGCTTTGGCCGATTCCGAAAAATTGCCGGCGATCCCAAAAGTTTGCTAGAAGCTTGACGAAACATCGGGCGAACTACTGCCGTAAAATGTCGTGTAGAGCTCGCCGACTCGTCTGCCGATCGATTTTCTCGCAATGTGAGGACCACATGACATGTTGCACAAGACCTCACAACAGTCTACGTCGTGAATATTACACCTAACATGGTCATGGAGGAGATACTCAAGTTGTCTCGCCTGTGTGGCGAAAGGTCTTGACTTGCACACAACTAACAAGGCTGGAACGAGTATGTAAAAATATTCTTGCAACACTTCAGCCCTAGCCACGATAAACCTCAACTCCTTGGCAGAACGACGTTCTTATTTTTGTTTGAACTTGGCCAAAAACTACTCAACACGGAATTCAGTGCATGGATACCTCCACACTGGAAATAAATATTTGAAAGGCAGACACGGAACGCAAAAAAACAACTAAAAACACCTATCTATCGCATAGTGTGGTACAAAACTCAGCCATGTACATGATCAATCTGCTGAACAAATTCACATGAACCTGTACTCGCATTTTAAGGCTGGTCCCAAACTGTAATATTGACGTTGTTCTTTTGCATTTTTTTCGCCAGTTAGAGACCTATCCAATTTTAACATATTAATGAGTATCAGCTGAACTTAATAAACACCCTCTATTTGTAATAAAAATTCTTGCTTTTATTGTAAATGACATTACAACTCAGATTTTAAAAGGTCTGCAAAGTGGTATGTAAATAAAGTTTCAAAGCTTTAAAATAAGCGGACACAATATACATTCCCAAGAAAAGTTGTGCTTTTGACAAAGCGCGTGACTTTAGAAACTCATTATTTTCAAGATTTAAGACAAGAAAGCGAAAGGTATGACATTGTTTAGACTAAAGGAACGTATGAAAGGCACCCAACATCAATGCAATTTCAGTGCAGTAAAACTACATTAGAATAATTACCAGAAAAAAGTCAATTTTCTTGTCATTATTCAATGTAGTAAATTGAGCTACATAGAAAAATAGTTGTTTCTATGAAGATTCTGTAAGTAAGGTCCCAATAATATTGACCAATTTTCTTGTCCTTATACAATGTAGTAAGTTGAATCAATCCTATCCCATAGCATATTGGTATCTGGCAGGCAAAAGCGATGTCGATGACGGAAAACGGTTGCTTCTTTTGCATCTAAGGCCGATAAGGCCACACTTACTTCATTTTATGGATGTTATCCTCTGAAGACCCCCAAACTAAATCAGTATGGTCAACAAGATATTCATGGGTGGTATCTACAAACATAGGGACTCCTCACGTAGCTTATTTTGGGGGCTATTTCAAACGCTTCAAGTATGAAATAATGACAAAATTTGTGCTTAGAAATGGGAGCAAATGTAAATATGAATTTCCTAATTCGGTATGTGTTCTTGTTTTTCAGCCCGAAATTGCATTAGATGCCTCTAACTAAAAAGATAAATAGAAAAATGGACAAAGACAGGTACTTACAGATATGTTTAGAGTTGTCGAAGAAGCAAGGTCGGTCTATGTCAGTTCACTGTCCACTCTCCCACTGCACAGAAGAACTAAGTGTTCGGAGATATGTACCAAGGCGGTAAACGTCATCCTAATCGACGATGGTGATTGGTCAGATGTGACGTAGTTTGAAGCGTTTGAAGTAGCCCAGAAACAAGCTGCGTAAGTCTCAGTATTCTTGGGTGCCGCCCAAAAGGCCATGTTGATTTGATTATATGAATGACGGATTAATGGTTTGAAATCGCCGATAATTACTGTCCATATTATGACACTTTGCCAAGTTAGAAAAAGCCAGGTCTTTTATGTCGCACCGGGGTCGAGTTAGGACAACGTACTGTATATGTATGCATTACTAGCTGACTGATCGAAAACATGTGATTTACAAAATAACGAACATTGCTATGTAATTATCATAAGTATGATAATGGTTGGTTTAGGTGAAGATATTAGAGATAAATACCATATTTTGATAAATCCTACCGGTGTGACACCATCACAAAAGAAACGGGATTCAACAAAAGCCACAGTCCAGGTAATTCTACTTCGCGCATCCGGTAAAATCTTTCTTAACAATAGCGCTAAATGTCAGGTCAGTCTCACAGTTTTTGCCTGAAGGATCAAAGGCGAAAAGTAACCATTATCATACTTACCTGACATTTATGACCATTGTGGAATCCAACTTTCCGTGCGGACAGAAGTCAGTTTGGCTACTGTAAAATATCAGGGACTGTCAACAAACAACGGCACTACTTACTAAACTTATCCTCCTCATCCCTTTCGAGACATAATAAGGGCTTGGCTTTTTCTTGCCATCTAGGTCTGTCCTTGGGAAGGAGAGGTTTAGACTTTGGCTCTTTACCTTAGTCAGAAGGCTATGTGTTTAGGTACACCATACATAGAGGTTTTGCTAACTATATACAGCAGCACATTTCTGACAACCCATACTCATACATGACGAAGGTATTAAATCATCGACCTCTTGTTTGGTGTGTTTTGGGACGTTTCTATATCGGGCTTTCCTTTTTGTACACAGTCTGTTGTCTATATAATAGTGACTGCATGGTGAATGGATACTGACAAGCCAATTTCGTAGTCTTCGCAGCCACCAAAAGGCTTGGAGATCACCAGTCACCTTCTTTACTGATCGCCAGGATAATCCCACGGACACACGACGAAAGTCTAGATTATCACAACACAGGATATCATACCCGTCTCACACTCTCTGTGGTATTTGATGACTTGTTCTCCTCTTATGAGATCAGTGACTTTTAGCTCAATCTTCTCCCACTAATAGTTGTTTCTTATGGGCTTCTTTCGATAGGTCCCAATCATTTGACCAGAGGAAGTTTCCAGACAGCCCTAGCT